AAAGTGTGTTACAAAAGGATACAGTGTAGATTTTCTATGTTACCAGAGCAATGGTTAAAGCATATTACAACCAATACATGGCCATATGTATACCCCTAGGGAGATTCACCCTCAATTACGATGACCATTGTAACAAGAAGATGGAAAGCAATGGTAAATCAAACATTTTAGAACTGTCACCAAAACAAGAGGTGAGGGGAAATCTTCCATTAGTGATACTGGTTGCCCTGAGGAGAAGAAAGGAATTTCCCTCACTTTGCAGAGATTTTTCTTCACTTACTGATGCATCTCCGTGGCAGGAAGTAAAGGAAAATCTCCCTAAAGGGACACAGAAAGCAAAATATAAACAGGCACGGGTTCTAACTATTCCCTTCTCTATCCATGGCTATTAACACACTTTAACACCACTAGCCGCTGACAGGCCTACAAAAAGCCTTTCAATTGTCGCTTAAACACATCGCAAACACATGTCAGTACTTAAAAGAGAACTATGGTGTAAGTGTTTTTCCCATAGTTCTCTTTAGGGTCATGGTAGGACATATACTAACCTCCTCCCATGACCCAAAGCTCAGAATTAGCCCGCGATATACTGAGAGCGCCGCAGCCGGGACGGATTCCGACAATACAGTCGAGATCCACCCAGCTGGGTGAGTGACAGCGCCACAGCGGGCTCGGCCTATCTAGAGGCAGAGCCAGCTGTGCCCGTCCCCTCCCCTGTCTGTTTCTCCACTCAGCACTGGAGGATTGGAGAGGGGAATCCCTGCGGGGAGCAATGACTGACGGTCACCGCTCCTTGCAGGCAGACGATCAGGAAGTGAGCGGATCAGCTGCATGTTTCTGCTCACTTCCCGATTGATAGAGCCGACCTGTGCCAGCTTCTTTGTCACAGGTCGGCTCTAATTATGGGGATGAGTGGAAATCACTTACCTCATAGTTCTCCTTTAATAAATGCATGGGCAGTTTGGTAAGGTTGGGTAACAGCCCCGATACCAAACCCAATGGGAACTAGACCTTGAAGAGGGCCTGCCAATCCAGGGAACAACAATGGGTTCATTTTAATCTTTTTCCCCTTCCACAGCAACACATAATCACTCTCTACTCCATCCCTGCTAGGAGTAGTAGAAGGCGCCTTTTGCAAGCTATGAGTTGCTGCTACAAGTCACTCAAGTCATAGCTTACACCATAGAAATGTGACAGAACTGGTACAGTGTTTTTGGATCAGTGTTTCCGCACAATCAAATGCTCCTCCATACCCACAATTAAGAAAAAAACATTTCTGAGCAGACATCAAAGGAAATGCTTTTTACAGATACCATAATGTCAATATACGGTCATTATGGTGGTTATTATATATACAGGGGGGAATTTATCAAAACTGGAGCAGATTTGCATTGCAACCAATCAGCTTCTATTGCTCATTTTCAAATCCCAACTAAGCAAACTGAAGAGAGAAGCTGATTGGTTGCCCTGGGCAACTGCTATAAAAAAAAGCAAAACATTTTAGTAATGATAATATGCATGTGTGACAGAAGCAATGCTTGAGCACATTGCCATAGCACATTGCCATCAAGTGCCGCACATCACACAGAGGGTCAAAATATAACTATTCACAAATGCATCAAACGACTTTGTAACAAGACTCTGAGGTTGGATTCCAAAAATTATTTTATTCTATAGGGTCTTGGCATTCAGAAAATATATAATGTGTGGGGGTTTTAAGTAATTTTCAGGCCTAAAATGTGGAATATAACATGGGTACAAAAAAATGAAAAAAAGTCCTCAGTCATGAAGGGGTTAAAGAATTTTTTTTGGGGACTTTACAAGCAGGCATCAATGAGGCTGCTTTTTTTTCAGAATGTCCACATGCTGTCCAACCAGGACGGATGGCAGCATGTGGCAGTACACACATAGTGCTGTGAATAGAGCCATTGCCATTATGTACTGCATTTTCTCTTAATGTTAAAAGACATTTAATGCTGGGGAGAGAGAGTGTTGGGAGCCAACTCAGAGAAAGATGAGACATACTGTATATGTGGTTCCTATGTCTTTGCTTGGGGACTAGTGATGTATACAGTCCCGAATTCCTATACTATTGTCAGTAGGGGTCACAGCTCAAGTCTAAAGCTGGCCATACACCTGTAGAATTTTGATAAAAAAATGTTTTTCCGGAACATTCCATTGATTTTGTAATAGATAATGGGGTCAGATTGATGATCGGTTTCAGTGGAACAATGGGCCCTGGTGCAAGATTCCCCCCCCCTCCAGCAAGCCTCTCTAAAGAAATGCAGAATGGTAACGGCTATAGGGGACTACAACTTCCAGCAATACTCTCGACAGAAACGCAGAATAGTAACGGCTATAGGGGACTACAACTCCCAGCAATACTCTCTACAGAAATGCAGAATGGTAATGCATATGAGAACTACAACTCCCAGCAATACTCTCTAAAGAAATGCAGAATGGTAACGGATATAGAGAACTACAACTCCCAGCAATACTCTCTAAAGAAATGCAAAATGGTAACGGCTATTGGGGACTACAACTCCCAGCAATGCTCCCCACAGAAATGCAGAATGGTAACGGCTATAGGGGACCACAACTTCCAGCAATACTCTCAACAGAAACGCAGAATAACTCGATCAGTTATAGAGGACTACTAAACATGTCACAGAACTTACATACACATACAGAAGATAAAAGCAGTCACCTCACCCCCTCCTTCGTGGCGGGAACACCATGTAGCTGGGAGAGGCGGCAGGCTGTGTGATCAGGAAGCTGCTGGGTCCCCCCAGCCGAGGCACCAGCGCTGCCACACTGTTTGCTTGCAGGCTGCTCTGCCTCACTCCGATCCCACTGCCGTGCGGCCGTTTGGGAGTGCGGCCGGACGGTCGGCAGGCGACCCCCCACCATCTCTTGTCCTACCTTGCCTGGGTCTGCTGGGCCCACCCAGGCTGAGGCCCCGCTGCAGAAGCACCGGCTGCACCACCAGCGGAAGTTCCTCCCCTGAACGGTTTTGAACATACACCAGTAGAAAAGAATCAAAGTTTTTCTTGAATAAATGCAATTCTTATGTAAAGGGGTCAAATCAATGATTGTTTTTGATCACACAGCAGTTGAAAAAATTTGAACAGCAGAATGTAAATTTTTTCTCAAACAAGCAAAATTCTAATAGCTAATGTAGTTTGGGAAACCCACTTATTCCGAAATCAAATGTGAATACAACACAACATTGTAAACACCATCCGTCAAGTCTCTGATGGCATTATGAGGCATTATTACTAATGAGATTTTTTGTGTGCACATCTATATTAAAATCTACCAGTGTATGGCCAACTTAACCTAGACCTTTACGGATAATGACATTTCTTGGCTACTGAGATATTTCACTGATTGTTGATTATTGTACTGAAAAATGAGGTGACTACCAGCAAGCAGTTAAACTCTCTTAAAGTTTTTCACACCCCATCCGTTATTTGCATACCACCGCACATGTATTGTGTGAACAGGGTACAGACAAAACCATTCTTTTCTTTCTGCCCTGTTCATACCATACATGTGCCGGTGGTTTGCAGAATAATGTATTTCAATGGACATGGCGTGATCACACCCTCACAAGCCAAGTGATTTAATCACCTTTGTAGCTCAGCTCGTACCCAACATCAGAGTTTGGGCATGAAATGTTCATCAATAAAATGAAAAAAAAGGAAATTAATATCGGAATGGACCCACTAAGCCTAGAATCTACACATAGCAATAGAGAAGAATGGCAGTTAGTTATGACTTTTCATGACATATATACTCACCTAGTACAACAGGTTGCAGCTCTCCATGGTGGATAATCCATACTCCCATACAACAGTTGCTGTTATAACAGTGTACCCTTCCTGGTTCCTTTATATTCCCAAATTTCGCCATAGGAAATCCAACAGGAAAAGAGGTGTTCTCGTACATTGCACAGGAGATTCCATCTGGATGGACAAATATCGGGAGAGCAGAGGCTACATTATAAAGGATCACATACCACATCATTGTATGTCCACTAATAGTCCTTACCTGTCGGAGAAAGAGTAAGAATGATCAAGTATGCTAGGACATGTAATTCTCCCTGAGCCATTCCTATCAGATGCAGAAGTAGCGTGATAAGGTAGTAACTATGTTCTTTATCCCTGGCTCCAGAACATCCACAACTGCACCTGCTAACCTGATGAATTGTTATGTTTATTAGAAATCCTCTGTTCTACCGGAGCTGTCTCCTCTTTAACATAACCAATCTCATGCCTAATGCCTGGAGATAATGTCCTTGTTTTTGGATTCTCTTTTAACCTTAGCTGGCAGGTCTGAGATGAGAGAATAAAACTTCTCAAGGATACGAAACAAGGGGCGTAACTTGGCCATAGCGGTATGTTGGGGGAGTGCTGTTCTGGGAACACTGAGAAAGGGAGGGACCTGACATTTTGTGTTCCTGATAACAGAATCTAATTAAAAAATATGTGCAAAAATCAGTGTGCATTAACTCAAAGGCGTGTCTGTCTTTCTTATATGAATTTGTTTTTTGAAGAACCCAAATAAGCAAATGTTCAAAGTTCAGTAATAAAGTGAATCTCTCATCCTAAGACTATCTTGGATGCAGAGCCTCCAATTGGTTTGACCAATATCTGCGCTATAGCCACTCACCAGTTTTGTGGCAGTGATGCACTTATTTGGCTTCACCATTACTGATGTACATGCCTTGAATACTATATGGTAGTAGCTCAGGGGTACGATATCACAGCAATATGCAGAGGCCTGGTAACTGCTGATCAGACCTTGTGTCTTTTGTCAATGTAGTCCTAAGATTTACACAGTTCTGCCACACAGTTTGGCAGGGGGAAAAAACCTGATTTTCCTCTGCTGCAGTTGAGTTACACAAGCCCCCCAACCCTCATCACCATGAATGGACAGCAAAAGGAGAATGCACACTGATATTATCTCCCTGTCACTCTACTCTCTCCTCCTATCAGCATTGCAGCAGATCCGACTGGCTCCTTGCCAAGGACACTACAGGGATTGCATGATGGTCATACCTGGCAAGATTCAGGTAGGTACACTGCATGCACTTAACATATTTAAATATGTATTATTAAATACAAAGCTGCATTCATGTGTGTCTTTTATATCTGCATAGAGTTTGGCTCTAATGTGACAGTGTACATTTCCATTATGATCTGTGTTTAAATTAGTATTCAACTCTCAAACCTTCGACTTTTCAATAATAAATCCGGATCAAACAAATATGCCCAGCAAAGGATTTCTTTACATTTTGGCCCAAACACTTACAATCCTCATGTTTCTGAACAGCTCCAACTGTCTCAGCTCGGCTTCCCTGAACAAGGGACAGAGGAGTCTCTAGCAGCTGTCCATCTTCTAGTGAAGAAGGGAGAAAGGAGGAGTGGGGAGTGGCTTGCCTTGCTGTGCTGTGTGTTTGTGAAGACACACACAGCTTACTAGCACCCACAAGGGTGGCTCCATAGGACCCAGGGCAGAGGCGTAACTAGAACCTTCAGGGCGCCGGTGCAAGAAACCATGAAGGTCCCCCCCAACCACCATGGCACCGCATGGTTAAAGGAGAACTATGAGGTGAGTGCTTTCCACTCATCCTCATAGTTCTAGCCGACCTGTGACAATGAGACTGTCACAGGTCGGCTCAGTAGATCAGGAGGTGAGCGAACACATACCGGCGTTCGCTCACCTCTCGATCCTGTCACCGCTCTCTGCCGTGACAGGGGAGGGGCTGGATTTCCCTCTTCCCGCTCCGATCCGCCAGCGCTGACTGGCAGGACGGGGACGGGGCGGGTACAGTTGGCTCTGCCTCTAGATAGGCAGAGCCAGCTTTCACTCACGCAGCTGGGCGGATCCAGACATAATTGTTGGGATCCATTTCAGCTGCGGCATCTCAGTATACCGCGAGCTGTAGCTCGCGGTATACTGCGGTGTGTCAGTATACCGCGAGCTACAGCTCGCGGTATACAGAGCTTAGGGTGACGGGAGGACGCTAGTTTGTGTCCTCCCGTTACCCTTAGGAGAACTATGGAGAAAAGCCTTAACCCCATAGTTCTCCTTTAACAGGAAGGCTGCCGAGGTCCCCAGCATGCGCGAGACCTCAGGCAGCCGCTTGTTTAAAATTTTAGTGCCGGTGTTCTGTCGAGAACGCCAACCCAGTATCTGTGCTTACATACAGACGGGATTAACGAGGAAACCGGCATTTATTTACAAAGTATTCATATGTAATGGTTAATTGTGACTGTTAATAATATGCCGTCCATGGCAGTAAATGACGGATTGAATATTATTAACAGTCACAATTAACAATTTGAACGAAATACTTTGTAAATAATTCCCTGTTTCCTCGATAATACTGGTCTGTGCGCAAACGTAGATGCTGAGGTCGGCAAATTCGACTACGTCGGCGTTCTAGACAGAACACCGGTATCTGCGTTTAGTGTTGGGGCATTTTCACGAGTATGAGTACTCGTGAAAATGCCCAGTATTGTCACTGGTGTATGCCTACCTAAAAATATAATGCATTGCTGGGACTTGTAGTCCTACATAGTTGGAGCTATTCTGCATTGCTGTATAATGATCATACAGCAATGCAGAATACCACCAGCTATGCGGGACCACAAGTCCCAGCAATACATTATAATAAAAGTCAGCTATGCAGAATACCACCAGCATCCCCCCCCACCCCACTATAATGAATTGCTGGGACTTGTAGTCCTACATAGTTGGTGCTATTCTGCATTGCTGTGTAATCATCATACAGCAATGCAGAATACCACCAGCTATGCGGGACTGCAAGTCCCAGCAATACATTATAATAAAAGTCAGCATTACAAGCAGTGGCATCCCGAGGCTGGGTGTCACCCCGCCATGACGTCATCATGCACACGTGTGACGTTGCCGTGCGTGTGCGATGACGTCATCACACATGCGCACTGGTCTTTTTGATGCTGCCGGCGGCCATCTTGGTGATGGACGCCGGCAGAGAGAGGAGGGGACGTTCACCCGGCAGGTATGCCGCCAGGTCCCCTCCTCTCTCCTGACACTGTCGGGCTCTCGGTCCACGACCGAGTGCCTGACATTTCATAGGGGGTGACACCAAAATGACTAATTTTGAAGTCACACCTCCAATGGTGGCACCCTGCTGCGGGCCGCACACCCCGCACCCCCCTTGTGACTCCACTGACTACAAGATTTCACCAGCATCCCCCACACACTTCCCCGCGCCCCCCCTTCCCACTCCAAACTTACCTTTCCTCTCCTGCAGGGCCCTCTTCCTCGTCGGCCAGGGGGCGGGGCTAAGAGGAGAGGGTCCTCACACAGCAGAATGTGCTACCCGGCGGTGCCTGCAGCACATTCTGCGGGACTGGTGACAGCCTCTCCATCCCCACCGCACAGCCAATAATTTTGCTACATCATATTGACATAATTCCTGTTTTTCTCCTCGATCCCTGCTATCCCCACCTCTGGGAAGATCATTTACTCATTTACCTTTACCTGCGGATTGGGAGAGATGCTTGTCCCTTGACGCAATCTCTCAGCTTCCAGGGACAAACATCTCATCCAATCTGCAGGTAATAATTCCATATACGATTACATGAGGACAGCCACGGACAGATGTGGGTGCTGTCAGCCTGTCATTAATGTGAGCAGGCACAGCGGCTGCATCTGTACGGACACACTTGGGCTGCCTGCCGCAACAATCCACAGGTTCTTGCCGCAGGAATCCCTAGCCACAGCTCTGATCACCTCCACTCACGTCCACTCCTCATCACGCTACATAAACCGCTCCACAGAGGAGATAAGCCACAATAGTCATTATCTCCTTTTAATAACCGAACACTCCTGTAAGAAATGTGGAGCACTTGGCATGCTCTTGACACCTGGCCATCAATGAATAAAACAAATATATTTTTTAAACATAGCAGAATAACCATAGAGGAGTGGTTCCCAACCTGGGGAGCCCCCGAGAAGTGCGAGATTGGGGAGTACGACAAAGAGCAGCTTGTGTCCCTTATTGGTGAGTCACAAGTCATCACTCGGCCAGTTAGCCATTAGCATATGAGTAAAGTAAGTAACTGATTGTCATAATATTACTTTTAAAATCCTTATGACACAAAATCTGACATAATCATTGTATATTGTTTCACTCATAAATTCACAATCCCAAAAGTTCATTAAGTATTTCACCGCTCAGGGCTTCTCAGCTCACATGCACTGTGCCTGCCGCCATCGCTTACATTTACTTGGCCAATCCCATGCTTATCCCCACTTCATCGAGCCAATCAAACACCTCCCTCATTGCCACTGACTTCCCCATATATAATGCTAAGGACTGAGGAGTGCAGGGGAGACAGGGGATGCAAACATAAATCAAACATTTCCTAGGGATGCAGGGCATAGCAAAGGTTGGGAACCACTGCTATAGAGGGTTATAGGTTAATATAACATTTTTGGGTATATTCTAACTGCACTAATCTGCCAGTGTTAAATTAACATGATTAACAATTAATGAATTGCATGTCTTCAAAATACATTTGAAGAACTTTGGGAGGCCAAAGAAGCCGATTATTTTTTACCTGGCTACAAACACATCATTTTCTGCTTAGGAACTGCACCTGTGTGTATGTGCTGCCACCTAGCGTGCCCTTTGCAGAATGCACATTCCTTCTTGTGTATAACCCCAAACCAACCCAGCTGTTATCAATCACCCATTTCCCTAATTAGCATGTAGCAGGTTTCTAATATATAAACACACAACAGGTAGTGGTCCATCTGATAGTCCTAGAGGCAAGGTGCTGTGAGAGGCAAAGGAAGGCACGAAGAGTAGGTGGTCTATATAGGAATTTGTAAGGTAATTGGTATTTGTAGACAATTTGTATGAAGGTCTGTAGTTTGTTATAAATGTATTATAAGGTTGTAAGTAGGTTCTAGATGTTTAGCATGTGAGGGCTTTTAGAGCTGAGTATGCATTTAATATATCGTTCTATATGGGAAATTTTTAGCTCCATTTATGCCCCGATAGCTAGCAATTACCTACCATGTCATGCATTGCAGTAATGTGATTCAGGTATATTTATGCACTACACCCCCCACAAATATATATATATATTCCATTCTGGTCCCTGTATAGCAGTGTAGTGACCAAAGGTGGCATCCAGTGTGCTGTGATGTGTAATGTTAACTAGGCATAAACATTGTGGGGAAGTCTGCGATTACAGTGGGAAAAAGGATAAGAAGTGCTCAAAATAAAAGGGGGGTCAGAATGGATAGAGTAGGGGGGGGGTGAATGGGGGAGAGAAATGTAAATGGGGAAGGTAAGCTAGCTGGGGTTGGGCTTTAGGTCCAAAACCATAAACTAGAATCAAATTGAGGACAGGGCAGTGAAAATCTGCTGGTTAATAGTGTGTAATCCAAGGATCCCAGATTAAGCAGATTTGTTTTTTTTTTTTTTTTTTTTTTAGTCTATTGTAAGGCTTCTTACCTGGAGATCCTGCTAGTGACACTGGTTGCAGGCTGACAGTTCTAAGATGTTTCACAATTGGCAGCATCATGGATCTGCTGTAGTGTGTGTGCCTTTTTTTTCACCCCTGGGGCAGAGTGCAGGTAGGAGCCAATTAAAATAAAAGGGGAATCAGTAAGCCTAGATATAAGGGAGTTACCTTTTTTAGGGCTAGTTTTAAGGGGCCATTTGCAAACTGGTGCATAAAAAAACCTGCATGTTGTTGAGGCAGCCTAGCAAATGAATGTGCTGCCAGGGCACCAAAACGTCCACAAACAAATACATTTGGCGTGCACCATTTTAATAACTGAGCAATCAAGAGGGCAAAAGGTTTTTACTGCCTTAAAGTGTATCTAAACCCAGAACTTTAAAACTTTGGATAGAGAAGGAATGGTGTAAACCACCTCAGACTACTTTTCATCCCTACCGGGGAGATTTAGTACAGGCAGTCCCTGGGTTACGAACAAGATAGGAATTGTTGGTTTGTTGAATTTGTATGTAAGTTTTTAAGTGTAACTCCAGCCAAAAATAAAAAAATTTGGGATAGCATACGGAAGGGTTAACCCCCCTGTAAAGTTTGTTTTGCTGTGCGTGCCTCTGTTCAGAAGATTTCACCTCCCTTTCTGTCCCTGTGACAATTGGATTTTGAAAATTTTTGGTTTAGCTTCAGTGGAGACATTTTTATCCCATGATAAATCTTACAGGAGTGAATTTCCCTTCCTAGGGGTAGATTTCCTCTCACTTCCTGTGGTCTCAAGGACAGGAAGTGAGATTAAATCCCTTGTCTGCACGTCTTAACAAGAGAGCTTCCTGTAATGTACGTACAGCACTACGAACCAGAGCCAGAAAGGCGGGCACTCCTCGTTGGCATGGTAACATTACAACTACCCCTGCTGTACAGCAGGGGTATTAGCCTCCGTATGTAAGTAGGAGTCATATGTAACTCGGGGACTGTATTTGTCTTGGTGACCTTTTTCTGGGGCTGAAAGTCCATAATTTAAGTAGATTGCCTGAACAGGAAGAGGGGCAGTCTTCCACTGGGGACACTTGTTCAGGTGATACCTGTCTGAACAGATTTCCCTATAATTTTTTTTTTTTCCTCTTCCTATTCCCCACAGGAAGTGAAATCTCCCCAGTAGGAGATGGGATGGCAAAAATCTGACACGGGTTTAACTATTCCCATTTGAAATGAAGAAAATGTGAGAATACTGTGTTTATATCTCACCAGCACAAGTCATATCTAGACTGCCATTGTGTACCTCTCCTGGTTGCTGATGTTTTAACTATTTGTCCTGAAATGCTGTTAAATAAAATGCTGTAAAATAAAATATCTGCACTGTTGCTTCTGCTTGTGTCAAATTTTGCTCTTGTAGGTCACAATGCCAAAGTCATCAAACTCTTCTGAGCCACCACGAGGAAACAAGTACACCCTGAGAGTAGCACTGAAGAAGGTTGAGTACTTTTCTGACAGCAGCAGTGAGGAGACTGAAGAGCACCATGCTCACTCATCCGCTTCAGAATCGGAGGCAAAGGAGCCTCCGGTGGTCCCATCTAGTGATTCTGAGGAGGAGCCGCCACCAAATGAATTTATGCAGAGAAGAGCCAAGAACATCGAGGATAACAAAGCCATGGTGTGTACCAATGCTGGCAAATCCATCATTTGCATAGTATACTGACTGTATTAAGTGCTTTGTGCATGAACCAGTTGGCTGGTAGCCTGTTCTGGAAGAAATATAGAAACTATTGACAGGTTGCCAGGCTTTCATAACTTAGTGCATGATGGCTAATCTACCTCCTAACCTTTTTTTCTTTTTAAAGCTTAAAGTGACATTAAACCCTCAGATTTTTTTAACATAAAACAATACTGTAATGTGTGCCTTACTGTAATCCATGGTTTCCATTCTCTTTGCTGCTCTTCCTTTTAAATCTGTATCTCTTTTCATGCTGGGCAGAACTTCTGTTTTGCAGCAGACTGCCTTGTCTCTGAAATGGATACATGGTGTCTGTGTGTAGGTTTGCAACCTGAGCCAGCACTACAGGAAGAGGCACTCAGCTGCAAAGGGAAGTTCTCCCCAAGCATGAGAAGAGATACGGATTTAAAAGGAAGAGCAGCAAAGAGAAGGGAAACAACCATGGATTACAGTAAAGCACACATTACAGTATTGGTTTATGTAAAAAAATCTGAGTGTTTAATGTCACTTTAACTGAACAAGCTGAAGATAGAAGCTGATTGGTTACTATGCACAGATGCTCCAGATTCCGGTCTGCTCTGGTTTTAGTAAATTTGTAAATGGCACTAGAATCCTGCTCCATGTACACGACATTTTAAAAAATTTGGCACTACAACACAGAATGAAATAAACATTTTAATAGTTTACATAAAAAAACTATTAACAAAAATGCAAAATAAAATGTTAGGGGAAGAAGACAATCGAGGCGCTCAGTGGTGTAACAATCACCATAGCGACCCAGGTGGCCGCTAAGGGGCACAGGGGGGCCCAGCTAGGACATCCCCCTGATGCTGTGCTTGCCACCTAGGTCGCTATGGCATCTCAGGCTGCTGGCTGTCACTGGCGAGTGTGAGAAGGAACAGGTTGCTGTTAGATCACGAACAACCTGTCGGTGATCTGTGCAGCGGTGTGTTCCTCCTCACAGCCGCTGCTGAGTCAATGACAGCCAGAGGCAGGGTCCAGCAACCGTGGAGCAGGTGGATTGGGGCTGATGGGTAAGAGCTGTGCAAGGGTGTGACCAGCCCACCTGAGATTCTGCAGAGCCCACCATAGTCTATGGTGGGCTCTGCAGGGTCACGCTCAGGTGGGCTGTTTGGGATATCGGGTGGGTTCTGCAAGGGGCATAGCTGGAAATCACAGAGCCCCATACAAAATTTTGCTATGGGGACCTGTGACTTCTACTTATGCCCCTGGAGGAACTGACAAACTAAAACTAATTGGGGGTTCAATAATGATTTCTAGGATGTCTGTCTCCCACACATTACAGTAGTAGCTTTCATTATTAAATGAATGCAGAGCAGGGCCTGAGCTATCGGACTGATGGAGAATATCCAGTGTCAGTCAGGTAGCCTTTTAAGGACAGTGGCAGCCTATATCTATATCGGTATTAGTTTCCCCTAAGGTGAGGATTTTGCTAACATATGTTCTACAATGTGTCTAGTCAGTAACTATTATCATATCCTTGACATTGCATTAGACTACAAGAGGCACTGCACTCCAGAGCTTCAGTGAGGAGGCTGTTCTAGGGCACCCTGCATACGTCACGGCGTAGATAGAGGGGCAACTAAGTTGATGTCTCAGTTCTTTAGTAGACAAATGTGACATGAGCCTTGCAAGAGATGATAGAAATTCAGACAAGCATCCGACTAGTGAGTCCGCGTGTGTCGCTTTACTTTTTTGTAGAACCCATTGTGCATATAGAAGTTGACTTCTCCTCCTATATAGTCAGTTTCTTAACTTGTTGTTTAGCCTACTTTTTTATAGGAATCCAATTCCCAGTGTTTATAAATTACTTGCTTTTCTTAAAAAAAAAAAATATTGGCTATACAAGGTTTTTTTTAGCTCACTACAGTGGCCCACTTATTTAAAATGAATCTGTTTTGTAACCTTGCAGCTGGCCAAACTTATGGCGGATTTGGAGAAATTGCCAGGACACCTTGAGCCAGATTCCAATAACCAGAACCACGGGGCTCCGGTAAATGCACTTTAGTCTCTTAAACATTCACTGTAGTTGTGAATTTCTATTTTGGTGTGGGTTTTGTTTTGATTCTTGAATACAATATTTACTTCAGAAGTACACAAGACGTTCCAGAGGGTCGCTTGTAGCCGCTGAGCCAAGGAGGAACCCAGAACGTGTTGCTCGTCGTGTGACTCGCTCTATGGGACCAGTGATGCCCTCCTCACCAGATAAAGACCATGATTATCAGAGCCTGGAGGATCAGCTATTGAAAGAAGTGAGTAATCTGTTGACTTTGATCAAATTTTAAATATTGAATTGCTGGCTTTAGTAGGGGGTTCCCACGCCTTCTGATCTTGTATTCTAGAGAATGCAACAATGCTGACTTGGTCCACTAGGCTCCATTATATTACATCCTTGATTAAATGGAATGACCCCTTAATACAAGCACGAAATAACGGTTTAGTGTAGAGTTGTATAGTGAGCCTTATCATACGGACCACTAACAGATTGTTGCAGTCACTGACTGTCTCAGATCAGGTGTTTGACAATTTCCTTTATGTAGATCTGTACCAGGAAAACTGGCCCTATGCCGTCCCTGTTCTGGCATCTTTGAGTTACTAACTCGGAACAAGCATTCATAATTTAAATGAAGAGGGATAGAGCTTACACTAGCTTATGATTATAGTTAATAAATTTTTCTTTGCGTCCGCCATACTTTTTCTTTTGTGAGGGGCTACTTGCTGTATGGGAGATCTGCTTTAGGAGGCATTAGAACATGCATTGTCAGGATTGTGTCTTGCATGCCTCTTTGTTTCTAGGAAAAAAATACTGTTTAGTGGGCACAGACCCTATAATCTACACCTCAAACCTGCTGTACACTGCTTTATTACAGCAGCTATGCTGTTGAACAGTTTGCTATAATAGACTTGACACTATTGTGTAGCTCTTGCCTTATAGCAACTAATCCTACAGGTATATTGCTTGAGCAGACTTTCCCTTTGTTCCTAATGCATGCAATGGTTGCAAGATTCTGTTTGGGATGAAGGGAAGGCCATCAGCTGTTCTTGGCCATACACAAGCTGATGCTCCACTGCTGCTAGGGAGATCATGTAACCGTTTTTACTCTGGCAAACACCATGAATCCTTGGTGATGTTTTGCAGATTCGGTGGGTATTCAGTCGTAAAAGCAGTGTACATCCAGCATCATAAACTGATGGGTTTCACACATTTTATGGACCATTTATTCCATTAGGGTGAGTTAACATGCATTGAATTAAGGTGACTTACTTATTTGACTGGGATTAACAAAACAAGTGCAACAAAAAAGGATCACTAAAGGTGTGAAATGTTGCTTTGATGCTGGATGTAACTATTGCTTCAATTATTCAATCATGTAAAAAGCATCTGCACATGACTAAGGTATTTAAAGTGATTGGGAATTGTTTGACGGTTATTTTCTTCCTTTTTAGTTTGTTCGATATCCTTAAGTCTGGATTTATTTTCCTGTAAATGAAACTATTTTAACACTTGCATCATTCTCCCTCCAAATAAAGAGAGAACCAATAAGAAGGCGGCGCAGCAGTCGGCTTAGTACCCATACTATTCCTCATGTGATTCGTCCAGTAGAGGAAATTACTGAGGATGACTTGAAGAACGTGGCTGACAATGTGAAGGAGAAAGTGTACAACACAGTGCATGTGAGTAGCACATGTGTTTTCAACAGTACATTATTGTCCTAGACGGGACAATGTTTATTATTTTGTTTTTATTATATCTGTTTCCTTGTTTAGGGTTCTACCTGCCATCAATGCAGACAGAAAACCATAGACACAAAGACAAACTGTCGCAATGCAGAGTGTCGAGGAGTCCAAGGACAGTTCTGTGGTCCATGTTTGAGGAACAGATATGGAGAAGATGTACGGAAAGCTCTTCTAGATCCTGTGAGTAAAGGGATTACATTTTGCTAGTTAAATAGTCTTCCTGGCCTATTGATCTTGTAGGAATAACTTTTTTTCTTATGAGTCTATTCTTGATTTTTATAAGAAACGTAAAAGCTTGAGAAATGTCTTAATAATATCTTCAACAATGTGCACGTTTTATCAGTTACTGGTGTTTGCATCATTATTACTTCTCATATCTGTAATGCAACCAGAAAAGGGTTGTTCACAAGTGGCCTGAGCAGGGGTGGACTGGCAATACAAGAGTATGGGGGCCCCCTTGTGCTCTGCCCACATACAAGCCGCACCTGCATATATATCCCTGCATCTCTTCCTACACTGTGCACCTCTGCACTCCTGCCAAACAGTGTAGGAAAGGGGGTGCAGATGAGGAGCATTGGTAAACAGTTTAGGAAGAGGGATACAGAGTGTACAGAAAGTTGAGGGTGTGCAATGGGTCTCTTCCTCCAACACTGTGCGGTGGGAACACCAGAGTGAGAGGTGGATCTCTAATCAAGTGGCCGCTTGTTGGGTTTTCATGGCTAAGACCTCAGCGAAAGGCTGCATAATTTGCCTGCTTAATTGTGCTTGGCCACTTGCGCGGCTGTCTTTAATATTGATTGATCCCTGGGCAAGATTTTGCTGGTGGGGCCTCACAAACCTCCTGGGCCCCCCTTCCTGACACCGACCATATCCACTAACATCACCTTCCCCCCCCCAAAACAATGTATGTAGCAATAAACTCCTGCAGACAGGCTAGACCAGTGGTGGCGAACCTTGGCACTCCAGCTGTTTTGGAACTACAAGTCCCATGAGGCATTGCAAGGCTCTGACAGCCACAGACTTAGCTCCCACAGGCAGATGCATGTTGGGATTTGTAGTTTTGGCACAGCTGGAGTGCCAAGGGGGTGTTAAGAAATGTTTAGGTTTAACATGTGCTAATATCCAAAATGTTCTAGGACTGGACCTGCCCCCCTTGCAGAGGGATCTGTAACTGCAGTTTTTGTCGCCAGAGGGATGGTCGTTGTGCTACTGGTATTCTGTTTCCTTTAGCACGGTATCGTGGCTATAGTGATGTCCATTCCTACCTTAACAGGTAAAAGTGTGTGTGGTTGTGTGTGTGTCTATCCATTCATTGCTTACTGTTAACCATTTATTGCTTAGTTTGCAGAAAACAAACAATGAGCAAAGTGATGAAGACTCTCCTTAGACTTGACAGACAGTCTTGTCATTGGATTTTAATGTTGCTTGCGTTTTTTTTTTTTTTTTAAATGTTTATGTTGTGTGCTCTGTTCTGCAGGGAATTTAAATAAAAAACACTTTTCTCCCAGAGTGCATTTTTGTAGAAATCACGAATACAACTGTATTTCAAAATAAGCAGTGCAGAGCTACTTGCATCTATAGAGTTTTATAGCATGAACTTCTACTTGTAGGTTGCTTAATGTGGTGGTAATGCTTAAAAAGATATCTTCATGCAACAAGGCCATTATTTGGTTGCATGGAAGAATTGTCTATAAAAGGTTAATTTCTCTGTTCCATCAGAAGCAAAAAGTCCACAAGCAGAGACTTCTGAAGTATAAAATTAATCTCTGAGCTTCTTTCTACCCCTTGTGGCTTCCACTGGCTGTACTCTTGTGTCTCATAGCGCAGCAGCATCTGTTGATCGTTGCTTCTTTTTAGTTAGGTTGTACATACTGATGCAGAAAGCAGTGATGTCAGCGCTGCTCTCTCCACCAGTACAGGGTACATTCTGGTTTAGGTAATGCATGGTGTTGCCACTCCACTCAGATGGTTGAGAATTTTGTGGTAAAGGCATACTGCAGAGGACTGCAGTGGGTTATGTAGCTTGAACTGCTTTTGGATTCTAGACCTTAAAGGCTACACTGCATACAAACTTGCTGAAAGTGTATTTCCACTTTTGGAGTCAAAATTGAGAATCTAGATATAGGTTTGTCTTCTATTACACAGTATGCCAAAAGTTTTTAAAGAAACTTTCCCACCTTTTTTGGCTTCTCTATTTTAGCAGGCCTTTGCAAGTTTCAGTTACTAGAAACTCTTGACTGTCCTAATAGACCTAGGAAAGACTAAGCATCTCCTCATCACATACAATGTCTTACGGACTTTTACACTGTTAGTGTTTAAATCTATTTTCCAACTGGTATCTGCCAGTACAGACATGGTTATTTATTGTAAAGCTTGCCATCCCCACCCCTTGCATTCCAGAGAAATTTAGTCTGGAGAACAACTTTTGTTTCAGAACTGAGCATGTTTTGTGCAAACCATTTTTATTTTAATGCTATGTGAATGAGTGGCATTTAACAAATATGAAATAGATGTTATCCCCATTTGGCTGCAAAAGTAGAAATGTACTTTAACCGCCTCATACTGCTACCAACTTAGCACAGGGAAGTATAGATTTAGTGTCTCTGCATTTAAAATTTAATCAAGCTAATGCTATAGCCTGTTTAGCATACGGTTGGCAAGTTTCAAATATGTTGGGGGTATATGTAGCACCTTCATACTCTAAACTACACCAATGTTTCAAGAAATCAAGCTGGATCTACACTTCTCACTTCCTGGGCACTGCATAGGCATGTCTAATGTATTGTGTAAAGGCAGTTCATTTATTTTCAACAAACTACACATACAGAAATCAATCAACTGACATACAGTATTTTTTTCTGACACTGCATGTAGTGTGTTGCATTGCCTTGGCTGGCCATTGTAAATGGTATTGCAGTAACGCAAACTATAACAAAGATGTGTTTCAGCCATTAAACATAGGGGGCTACTTCAGCATTCACTGTTTAAAATTGAGCTTATGTAAACTCCTTAATCCCCTATTTACATATGGGGAACTTGCATCTTGGTGACAGCATTTGCAGGCTTGTTTCCCATATTTGGCACCCATTGACTTCAATGGATGCTCACTGTGGGAAGAGTCATGCATCTAGCAAACTTTGTGGAATGCATTCTGTGTGGTTTTATATTGTGTGGGAGCATTTGCTCAGCCACCATTTTCCAAAAGCATATGCCATGTTTAGTGTGCATTTCCTGAATGCAAGTCCAAGCATGCACATCTGACGCGTGTTCACAATTAGCCCATATGTGAACAGGGCCTTATCCATACTTTAACATGATCTGGACTAACAAAGTTCTGAATGTGTAGACGTATAACCTCTCGAGGGTAAGACTACACCTTGCACCTTTTTGCAGTGTTTATGCCAAATGGTGTATTTGGGCAGCCAAGTTTCTAGACCCCCTTCCCCCTCAGCCTCAAATAGACTGAACACAGATGTATGCGAGCTGTGCAGCCGCACAGGGTGCCATGGCAACAAAGGCGCCAGGTGACCGACACAGCGGACATATATTCGGAAATATAGTAATTCATTAATTTTACATGTAGTCTAGGTTTTGTTTTCTATTTTTACTTTTCTAGATGCATGACACCGACACTTTAGACTCTACTTTAGTTTGACTTTTTTTGTTTTATTTAAAGGAGAACTATGGGGTCAGTGTTTTTCCCCATAGTTCTCCTTAGGGTAACGGGAGGACACAAACTAGCGTCCTCCCGTTACCCTAAGCTCAGTATACCGTGAGCTACAGCTCGCGGTATACTGAGACGCCGGAGCGGATCCCGACCTGGACGGCGGGACCACGCC